TAGACAGTTCTATGGCTCTAATTTGCCAGATCAGATTGTATAATTATCTTTTACAGGCCTGGGTGTGATGTGTGTTCTGTGTTTATGCTGCAGGGGGCTGAGTGTGTGTGTTTGGCCTTCAGAGGTCTGCTCTGCCCAGTCTGACAGGGAGCCTCCCACACATGCGGGGGTGGTAGCTGCTGGACCGGCTGCCTATTCAGAATCGGGCCCAGCACACCTGGACAGAACAGAGACGCTTTTCACAGAGCTGGGGTGAAAGGGTGAACCCATGGGAGGCATTTGGTGGTGGCGGGGAGGTCTTTGGGCTGGGGTGGGGATCTTTGAGAAAGAGCGTCTGTGGGGGCTGGGGGTCTGCGGGGGCTTTCAACAAAGGGTCTGAATAAAGGCTGGCAAGTTCGGAGATTGGAAGGAAGCAGGCACGTTCAGGGACGAATTATCGGGCTCGTGATCTTAGGCACATCGGTCTTCGTGAGCCCCTTCCTCCATAAAAAGGAAAACAGACTAAAAATCGTATCTTCTGACTACAGTGGTGTACGGGTGAATATAACCCTGGCGCGGTGCATGGTCACATAGGCGCGTATATGGTCATTTTATTCCTTCCGATTAGAAAAGAAATTAGAATATTCTCGTAGGCCCTTAAAAGTATGGTGGGTTCTGGGCACTGCCTCCTGTGCTCATCAGGTGTGTCGGCCTTCGGTAGGTTCCCGGAAGTGAGATCCAGGAGTTTGGCAGCCTGACCGCTACTCGGCCTGTTCTGTAGAAGTCTCTCCCCTCTGATCGTGGGGGACTCTTGCCTTGTAAGTCTCGAAATCCCCTATCGTACCCCACTTTTCCTTGGTCTCCTCCTGCGGCGTGTGGCCTGGTGTTGTCAGTGTGGCTCACAGCGTGGCTGGCGCACTTTTCGGGGAAGGCAGCAGGTTGACGTGGGGCGTGTTCCAGGTTAGTGTCTGCCGGTGGCCTCACCTTCCGGGCATTTTGCTCCTCAGTCAGAAGTCTCCAAGAAGAGCAGACTCTTCCATCTTGGTTGGAGGTGGTTGGGCCGAGAACCACTAGGTGGTGTTTGGCTCAAGGCATCCCCGGAGATGTCTGGAAGGACTGGTGGGAGGAAGGGAGGGACCTTTGGGGACAGGCTGTGGGCAGCCAGTTGCAGTGTCTGGCTTCCCTCAGAGGTTTGGTGACAGGCGTGGCGTGCTGCTGCTGGCCTCCTTCTGCGGGAGTGCCGTCCGCTCCCTGTCCCACCACTGTCCACACTGAGGACGGGAACGGCAGGCAGCGAGTGGGAGCTGGGTGTCTAGCCACGACAGCAGGACGTGTGGGTGCAGCCACGACATGGCTCCACGTGGCGGATGGCGAAGCCAGAGGGCCGCAGCAGAGCGGGGCAGGACCCAGGGTCCACCCAGGCACCCGGGGGGCCCAGCGTCTTCCACCTGCCCTCGCCGGCCATGCCAGCACGAGAAGCAAAGGGACAGAGAGCCCTGCTTGTTTTCAGGAACAGAGTGGACACTGACCGCTCTGTTTAGCACAGTGGTTCTAGGGATTGGATTGCCTGGAACTGGGTCGGAGGAGAGGGGGGAGGGGCAGCTGTCTCCTGGGATGCGAGGAATGTGTCTCTCACCCATCTGACATTCCCAAGTCGTGTCTCTCACCCATCTGACATTCCCAAGTCGGCTGGGCGGGTCGCCTGGGTCTTCTGGAGGAAGGTGGTTTCTGCCCCAGGGGGAGAAAGCCTTGGGACAGTGTGTGTGGGGGGGTGGGGGGGAGTCAATTAGCCTGAGGTTTCTGGGGAGGGGGCATAAGGAGGGTGTTTGTGGGGATCCCTTCTAAGGCCTTGCTACTCAGAGTGGCTCTATGGGCCACCGGCGTTGGGTCCTCCCAGGAGGCTGTCAGGAAAGCAGAACCTCAGGCTGCCACCTCAGACCGCTGAACTGGAATGTGAGTACCGTCTCCAGATGACCCTCAAACTGGGCTGCATAATAGACTTACTCAGGGAACTTAGAAAACATTTTTAAAACCCAGTGCCCAGACCTGACTTTGTGCCAGTCAGAGCCGCTGGGGGTAGGACCCAGCTTCAGTGGGATTTTCCAGCTCCCGGGGGAGGGGGACAGGGATTTCAGTGAGTAGCCAAGTCCGGGGACCGGGGACCTCAGCTGTAAGAACCCTCTCTCTCCTCCTCATCTTCCCTGCAACCCTCACCCCCATAGGATTTAAAGAAGATGCCCTCCAGTCTCCCCCTTTCCCTCCCCCACCCGCGCCCAGTGTCCACTACGAATTGGCCGGATAGAAACGCCACGGGGCAGGGTCCATGTAAATGTACTTGTGTTAAATTTCATTATCTCCCCTAGAAGGGTGAGGCTGCAAGGTTTCCATTCCTCTGGCCTTTTCAGCTTGAATGAGTCTATCTGATGCTTCCCACCTAATAAGCTGAATGCGGGTTGGGAGCGGGTGAGGGAGGTGGCGGTGGGGGGAGGGGTGGCTTCGTAAACAGTAATAACAGGAACAGGAATCCATTCCGGTGCTGGAGTTGGAACCGGAGGGTGTCTGGTGGTTTTCTCAATGAGTTTTCTAGCATTTGCAAGTTATCTGGTTAGGTCCCAAGTGTCACGTGGTTCATGGGAGCTAAAATCGTTGAGGGCTTTGCCCTGTCGTCAAGAGCCCTATGTTGCATTTGAGGTTGGTCCCGGGATAAGTTCGCGGGCGTCGTAGAGGAAGCCGGGGGCAGCAAATGTGTGTCCCCAAGGATTGGGGGAGCTGGACTGGCGCGGGCGCACGGGGCCTCAAGCTGGTGGCCGGCATGGGTCGATGGGGTGGCTGCAGAGTGCTAGCCCGGCCCCTGTCCTCAGTAACTCTAGAAACCGCTGGGGTGATCCAAGCCCCGAAATGATGTATGTGTGCCCCGCAGGAGGACAAAACGCCACCCAAACAATCCTTCCTCTTGTGAGTGAAGGTTACAAGTTTTCTGTTTCAAATCTGATGGTATTATTTTTCCCCTTTTTCTTTCTTCTCTGTGTTTTCGTTTGCCAACCGAAGGGTCTAGAGTGATTTCTTTGAGCCTAATGATGGGGAAGCTTAGAATGGGGCTATTATCTTTAAACGCCTTTTGAAATACTACTCTTCCTGGTGTCTGAATTCGGTGGAACAGAGGTCGGATTTAAAGATGAAATACTTTAGCAGGACAGCAGCTACGCTGGTACCTGTGCACATTTGCTCAGGATTGATGTGGATGCTGGGGAATGGCCTTCCTCTCCAGAAGCCCACGAAGGAGTAAAATTAATGAAAATATGGCTAATATTTATTGAGCGCACGGTAGACGCCAGGCGCCGAGCTGGATCTTCCTCATGTGTTGTCCCATTTAATGAATTCACACCTATCATAAGGTCAGAACATAGAAGAACTTCAGAAATAGTATAAAAGTTGCCTTCGCGTGAAAGACCCAATAAAAATGGACCACGGAATCGTGGCAATAGATTATGTTGCTATAAAGGTCCATCGTGAATTTGTTTTGTTATAACTTGAAAAAAAATACTGTCTATTCATGTCTTAGTTTATTCTAGGTCGAGTTTATTATGGTGACAACCTATATTTCTTTGAACGGATTCTTCAGTTTGCCATGTCCGTGGCTGACATAGGACATGGATTTCTCCCTTTATTCTGAATTCGTGTGGTTTTATTCTATGTTGAAGAATAAACAGCTATTAAACTCCTGCATCCTTGGGAGGCAGTCTGACATTGAGAGACGCCCCTCCCTCTATGTTTTAAGTTGGAAGATGAGTTTCATTATTCTGTCTCCTGATGTAACTCTCCTTTCTTTTTTCCAGGTGAAATCAGAAGTTTGTGGCCAACCTGGGTGTAAGTGCTTCGAACCAAGAAAGGACAAAAAAGAAGGTGAGTGGAAGCCACAAGGGAACCTTAATGCAGCCACTCCTCTGCCTGTCCTTCTTGCTTTGGGGTCCTGTTCTTTCTGCAGCCTGTCCTCCTGCCCCAGCATCCCCTAACACACCTACGTGCCAGCCCAGAGCAGAGAGCGGAGGCAGGAGCCTCGCCATTAGCCACCGGAGACACAGGTTAATAAGTACTAAGAGCCATCGCCATCGATCCAGGGCAGGCTGTGTTCTCACGGCTTTAACTTAGATGAACTTGCTCACCTCTCACACCCCTAGCAGGTCCGTCCTGTTACCCGCAATCTACAGATGAGGAAACCGAGACTCAGTCATTTGCCCAGGGTCGTGCAGTTAGTTAGCGAGGGAGCCAGGGTTCAAAGCCAGAGCCCGCACCGGCGCTGTGTTCTCTTAATGGGGATAATGCTCTGAGTGACTGTGCGTTGCTCCAGCTGCCCGGTGCAACATGCATCTGCTCCTGCCACCTACTCTTTTCACGTAGGGTCCAAAGCAGGGCAGGGAGGTCTTGCCGCCAGCATGCGGGGAGAGCCGCCAGGTGGGTGGCTCAAAGCTCGCAGGTTCAGGGGCCAGAGGAACCTATGGATTGCACCTGCTGACCTTCAGAATCTTCAGAGACTGACTGCGGGATTAAATGGGATCATAGGGCTGTCTGGAACACTGCCCACTGAAGTCTGGTCCTAATAAAGGAGGATGTGGCCATGGGGCCACTCCCTGGCTGCAAGGGCTGAATTTGCCCACAGCTGTCTAGACCCCACCGTCCTGTCCATGGCAGTTGCACTTCTGGCTGTAAATCTCAGTCGTGCTCATCCATCGGGACAGCCGAGGTAGCTGGCAGCTCAGGACGTGGGCATGTTTGATTAGAGGCAGCAAAGCGTCCATCTCTGTTTCTCCTCTGGAGCCTGGCACGGGGCATGCTGCGTGACGCCAAGCAGGGCTTTAGAACCGGGCAGGATATGTTGCAAATGTGCCACCATTTGTCTTGTGTGACGGCAAAGAGCATGGACCCAGGAGGCCCGGATTCAAATCCCACGTGCACTGATTCTTCGCTTTGTGACCGCAGGCCGGTGACCTTGACTGCTCCAGACTTAGGTGTCTGTATCTGTAAAATGGGGATAATGAAGCTAACCGCTGCCGCGTCGTGACTCAGAGGGAGAGAACTCACAGGGCTCCGTGCCCAGCACCGCGCCTGGGGCCCGCTCAGCACACGATCGATGTCATGTGTTTTGTTTTTGTTTTTTCCTTCTTGGGCTGGATGTGACGTGGGGTACGTCACTGAGCCTTACCTTCCTCTTCTGGAAGATGGTGAGTGAAATGGGACAGCACAAGTGGGACATCCGGGTCATCGTGGCTGCCCGGTCTATTGCTTTGCTCCTCGTTGGTCTTATTCCACGTGGATCAGTGAGAAGGAAGGTGGCCGGTGGGGTTCGTGCCACCAGGACATGGAGTCCTGACAGTTACCCCACCGTGTTTTCTGATCGGACCTTCTCTTCTCTCGTCCACCCTGGTCTTGACTTGGGGAGCATAAGCTGGGATCCCCACTAGGGACGCCAGCCTGTGGAATGTCAGTCTGTCTTCCCCAAAGTGATCCTGTAGGGGTTTCTCCTAAGCCTCTTGCTGAAACTCGGCACGTGTCACGTGACTCTCGGCTGACAGAACACGAACCCGTCATTTCTGTCGTGTCAGGGCTGCATCTCACGGGGCTCTCGGTCTCGTCGGCCGCCACGTCCCACTCCGATCCGAATCCTTTCGGCCCAGCTCCCTCGCTTTGCACCCTGCCGCCAACACTGGAACCCTGCCCACCCTGCCTCTGTGCTCAGCGCACCCTCCGCCCAGGTCACCACTCACCACCCCCGTCGTCCCCCACCACGCGGCCCCTGGGGCCCGCTGCGCCTTCACCTAACACATCATCTCACCCTCAGGACTTCACCGCAGTGGAGATTTTGCCTCGGCGGCGGGGCCTTGGGAGTGGGCGTGGCTGGGAATGGGGCTGCTCATCTTAGGGTCCTGTGCAGACTTGGTGCGCAGACAGTGGTGTGGATTGCCTGGTGGGAGGATGGGCCTGGAAAGCGGAGTCAGTCGCCGAAATCATTCTCACGCTGCTGTCTGGGTCCTGGTGACTGGCAGGCTGTGGGACGGGAC